CTACCAACTCAGCACTACCAAATCTGTTACCATCCTTTATTCTTCACTGTGATTGTGGAAGCATGCGTATGTGTGTGCTCTAATGAATTGGAGACAATGATATCAACTTCACAGTATTGTAAAAACCAAACCAAGTATTTTATACATGTTAACATATTTAAAGATATATGCCACATGTTATAAAGTTGTAACATATAGCAGATATGCAATAAACATTTATTATTATTATTGTGTTGCCATTTGTCAGGCCGACAAGTGACTATAGGAAAAATACTGATTTTGAATAACACTTAAGTGGGCTCTTATTGTCCTACATATAATACAGTTCTGATCTTCAGCGAAAAAAGATTTTTTCAGTTCTTTTCTTTGATAATGATATCAATAAGCATGATGTATCACTGCATCAGGGGAAACATCCCCTTGCATATGCTGGTGAAAAGAATATGGCAGCCATTCTCGAAGGTAATGATTGTATTCATGAGGCTGAAATAGCTGTTCAGATAAATATTGACTCTAGGGAGACAATACTAATGCACAGGAGAGAGAGAGAAAATTTTCAAAAGGGAAACATTGCCAATAAATTTTAAAAGTCTTTTAGAGATTTTTAAAACACTTTTTCTCTTCATCTGGAGCACTTGAAAGCTTTTTATTTCAGGCAGTAGAAAGTCCTTGAGAAAACTGCTTATAAAATAATTTCATCAAGTTTTCTGTATATGAATCTACAATCATTCTATTCTATCATTCTTCTAAGGATGGCAGTTTTAGTATATTATTAAAAATGCAGAACCAGCTGTGGTATAAGAAAGTTGATGAATTAGAGATGGTTGAAACAATTTGAGCAGTATGATCTCCTAAAGATCTTTAAAATTTACCTGTATGTATGTACATATAAGCACATATAAACGTCTTGATAAAATCAAAGTCCTCATCCATGGTAAATATTAATTTTAAAATAACAATATCTATGTAACATGATTTAAAATGATTATTCTAAAATTGAATACTTTATACTATTAGAAGTCCATTTATTTCTAATTTCTATAATCCATCAAAAATAAGTTGCACTTAGAGACATGCCCAGAAAACAGCACATTATTATTCCCTAAGATCTAAAGCATAGGTCTGTCTTTGTATAAGTCATGATGTTTATTTACTAGAATTCTATACACCAATAACAAACTCACTGAGAGATGGAAATTAGTGAAAGCACATTTTATAATAGCATCAAGAAAAAATGAAATACATAGTAACTAGTGAAGGAGTTAAAAGACCTTATATTGAGAACTAAAGGGGGCTGGGGATTTAGCTCAGCTGCATAGTGCCTGCCTGGCAAGCACAAGGTCATGAGTTCAATTCCTGGTACTGGAAAAAAGCCAATAGAATAAAATAAAATAAAACAAAAAACTAAAGTACTCTGAAGAAAGGAGACCAAAAAGAGTATTAGGAAATGGAAAGAAATATCCTGTTTCTGGGAAGGTAAAACAAACATACCGAAAATGGCCA